TCACACAAGGAAACTGAATATTTTGAAATTTATTTACTTTAGGTTTGTTATTAACTTTCCGAAGGAGAAGTTCATATTTCGTAGAAAAATCGACTTTTATACATTCCATATTTTTCAGAGCATGCTGAAACGTTTGTCACAAATAAAAGTAAGTATTTGTGTGTGTTTTATGAAATTTATAAGTCATTTGGTAAAATTATTTACAAGCTGTTTAGATTTGGGTGATTTTCGAATGTGAATCCACATTAATTTGCAATCAGCATTATTTGGAAAACGATTTCTTGAAAATTTTCAAAAATTTAAAAACCATCCGAAAGATATCAGTTGAGAATTTTTGTACTACTTAACTGATATTCAAAAACACTTCATTAAGTTTTAAAACAAATTTAAAATAAAACAATTATACGCCAATTGTCCAAAAAATTATCTTGTTTTGCTGAAAATAAGTACATATTAATATTTCATTTTATATTTATAAGTTTTCGTTATTAATTAGAGTATGCTATTCACAAAAAAATAATTTCATTTGCATTTACTGCATAATAGGACCTAATAATACGCGTTTTTGTAATTTTATTATAAATTATTTTTTAATCGACGGATTTTACACATTTGTGTTGCAACTTTGGAATTAGTTTTTAAACAACAGTATACAAATCCAATTTTTTTAAGTATAAGTTGTACTGGTTAAAACAATAAAATTAAACATATTAACCCTTTTATTAAAATCGAAACGGATCACCACTGGGTGACCTTTCAACCTTTTCCCTTATATAATAAAACATTAAAATTACTGAATGTTGTTTATAACGACAGATTGTAATTCATGAAAGTAAATAAAAAAAATATTAACCCTTTTTGCTACCGAGAAGTGACACTGCTATATGGAACAGCAACCCGCCCAGTTAATTTTTTCATCATGATCAATCAGTATTCAAAATAAAAATTACATTTATAAAGAACTAAAGACTATAATAAAAAAAAGGGCTTCTCATTAATTTAACTCTAAACAACTAAATTACTCTACTCTAAAAACTGGGTATAGTATAAAGGCAACACTGTACACACGGTAGTCATGCAGATGTCGTCTATAGACGACGCTCGTAGCAAAAAGGTTAAAAATATTACAAAATGCTTCTTTACCTGATACTTTTATTTCTGACGGATATACTTTGTTATATATATACGTTGTTTACAAGAACTTTACACCATACCTGGCTGAAGTAGGTAAAAGAGACTCTGATTAGATTCAGGTTCCCTTTTATACCCTAAATAACGGTAAATACACTGTGTGCGAATTTTCCTTTTCAGCTTTTCAATGGTTCATACCAGGGTCGAACTAGATGCAGCCATGTAATTGGGAATCGTCTTAAGTGTACAACTAAATAATAATTCTGAATTAAGTAAGTTTGGCTTTAATGTTCAAATTTACATTCAATCAATTATTAAGTTCCCGTAGGGTAAGTTAAAGTAATCGCAAAAAAATTGAAAATGAAAATGTTTATATATCTTTACGTTTCAGAAAAAAATTAATCTTTGTGAAAAAAAAATTTGCTACGGGAAGTTCCAGCAATTTGCCTTAAGGCACGATTCCGTACACGACTAGTTTATATTTAATTTTATTTAGTTAGTAATATTGATACTTATTACATTTTAAAATAAATATTTAGAAGTTGGATTTTTTATTTTTTCACAACCAAAAGAAAGTTCCGTTGAACACAAAAAAGCCCTAACATTTAGTTGTTCCTCAAGAAAATTCTATACCAAATATGAAAAAAATAAATATATATAACATAGAAAACTAAAATTAAATGGAAATTTAAATAAAAATACAAAAACTTTTAACTATTTTGTCAAATTCTACGCGAACGAAGTCGCAGGCGCAGAAAGTTTCTAATAAATAGTAACGTTTGCCTTTGATCATTTTATTCATCATCTTTCAAAAACAAACTGCGAATTCTATGCTCTTGGAATTGTAAATTTCAACCAGTTTCAACCAGTACCAGTCAAACAAATATTTACCAATATTTTGTCATCAGTTGTAGATTTCTTGAAAAAATCCAATAGATTTGTATACTCCGATTCCAATAAATCCAATTCATTTTCCCAATTCAAGTAAGTTTTAACTTGATTTAAATACAATCAAATACATATATAAGTTCAGTGAAATATCAGAATTCACTAAAGTGCTTTTTGTGTCTTGTGATTGAATAGTAATTTTCCTGAAGAAAATTTTACATATCAGTTGTTTGGAGTTCTAATATGAGTGTTGGTTAATATATTTTAGGCCGGATTTTTAACTTAAATTTTATACTTATTGTAATTAAGTATTGTAAGCATTTTTAGAATAATAACTTGATCGATACTAATTCTAAACTAATTTTAAAACTTAAATAATAACTAATTCTGAAACTTTTTCTCTCATTCAGTAGCTATTTGCAAGATTTTACTACAAATAGCTTTTTGACCTAATATGAATACGGTAGGCCGGGCATAAAGATCCAATTTGACTTTGAGCAATTAAATTTTGAAAACCAAACCAATTATATCACTACAAACAACACATGTCAAACAAACAATAATCTGACTATGTTCAGTAACACTCCCATCAATTTATCATTGTAGAAATGTGTTTTTGCTGCTTTCCAAAAATTTGTAACCTGGTCCTTTTTTCCTCTATATGAACCATAGGCAGGGTAAATTGTGACGACTAAACCAATTACATTACGACAAATAACACATATAAAACGACAAACTATCTGACTGTGTTCAGTAAAAACCCCATCTAATTCATCATTGTAAAAATATGGTTTTTTGCTGTTTTTCAAAAATTTGTAACCTGGTCTTTTTTATCTCATAAGCGGGGTAAATTGGGCCGGCCAGGGGGCATACAAGTCCAATGTCTTATTTTAATTTCAAAGGAAAATACAAAATAATAGCTACATTATTCAACCAATGCAAAAAATAAATTTTATGGGTGCATTTTTTACAGAGACAACACTGTAAATAACCTTGATCTGGTATTTTATCAGAAATATTCATCAGCATAGTTGGAATAACTATTTAATTAATTTAACTTTTTTTTAAATTGCTTTATTAAACTCAGTTTACTGTTTTATTTACATTTTCTAATTTTATACAATTTTTATTTTTATTTACTATTTTTTTATTTCTAGCCAGGTAAAATGTTCATTTGGTCCTCTTTACCCCACCCAGGTGTAAGCTTTTATAAAGGTTATATAAAAAAACTGTTGAATCTATCGATACATCTGATAAAACAATTAAATAAAGCATACTTAAAAATTATATTAAGGTCTCGCAAACTAAACAACAGTGCTCACAACCAAAAAAACTAACAATGGAAGAAAATACTTTTGTTATGAATTTTCAGACACTGTCGTTTATATCCCGATAGCAACGTTGCTCGAATTAAGGTGATGGCTGTTTATCTTTTGCCCTCTACTTTCAAATATTGTTGAAAAATTCTTAAGCGGTTTTTGAGATATCGGCGGTGGACATTTTTACCCGAGGACTTTTAAGCCCCGCTCTACCCTAATATAATCAACAAATCGATCACTTAATATTCGAAAATACTTACAATAAGTACGTTGAAAAATACATTAAATGCACATATTAAATCTAATCAAAATACGTCTTGTTTAAAAAACATTTAAAGCTCCACTGTTTTAACAAGGCAACATTGAATAAAATTACACAAAATACTTATTAACTAATTGTCATTTATACAAAAAGAATTATCCTCTATATTATCTTCATCAATGTTACTTAAATATCATAAGTTGTGACAAAATGTCGATTTTATTTATCGTACATTTTACAATTGATATACGTTTCTTATTGATAGATGAAATACCATGTTAGGGCAAAATACATATTTTTTATAAAAACATTTTTTAATATCGACAAAATCTTTATACACCTTACTACTCTCGTGTTAACTTTTTATTCAAAATAAGATAATAGTGCAAGAATGATACTTGAAAAAAAAAACCTTTCCACTCGGATGCCGCCGCTCCCGCAGCAAAATACATACAAATTTCGCAATTCGCGAGTGGAAAGGGTTAAAAATTCGTGGAAATGATTAAGTTGTTCGACGTTGTTGCTGTTGATAACGACCATAGAATGATATATTATACCTACTCTATATGAGAGTATCATATTATGTCAACTTTATAAATAACATTTCTTGTTATCTTTATCAAAATTAAAGCGTATATTTATAAAAGTATATTATTTCAGCAGAAATTCCTGAAGAATTAGACATATCAATCGAATGTCAGCATTCTTTGAACCTATTCAATTTAAAAAAAAAATAAACTCTTTAAATATTTGTTTTAATAACAATAAATCATGGTACTAAAAAGACCACACAATCTTTATATAAACACGTTAATATAAATTGTGTGTAAAAATGTTTTCCTTTATACTATCAAAGATCAGTCGAAAGTTGTATTGTATCAGTTTTCAATAAATTGGTCGATGGTTGTTTTTGGTTAGATAAAAATTTGAATTATTATCTTAGTTAAATTTATATGGATAGTTCAGTAACAATATGGACTGGCATCCACCAATCCATCCAAATGATTTTAGATTCATTAATTTCATATGATTAACGGAAATGATTCTAATAACATCACTTAATGTTTTGACGACATCATTCGATCGTTAATATATTAATTTCTTTTTATATTGCAAGTATTTTAGCAAGAATCCTGGTAGATTATAAAATCTTCAACCTACCAAACTTGCATCTCTTTTAACGTTTAATATTTTCAATCTTGGACTTAACAACTAACCAGTTGGAATATAAATAGTAAATACTAACCAACATAACAACTTGATTCCAATATTCGAATGTTCAACAATTTGTTAAACCTGTTTTTCAATTCCAATATTTTTATTCGCCCAACCCAATACGTCGGTATGAAATTAAATAAATAATCGATATGCATAATAAACTTTCAATCCAGTACCTATTATCATAATTCATATACATCACGTCCATTTTGCCTGCATGGTCTTTGTGGGCTGGTGTAGGAGTACATGTTGTACCCAGGAATGATGTGAACCCTGACGTCGCCTCCTGATCTGCCCAAACCGCTCTCCATTCCGCCCCTGGAGTCACCAGCTCCTGAATTAGATCCACAACCTCTTTGACGACGTGAGAAAGATACTGTTGTTTTGCAACAACAGTAGTGGAATAGGTTCACATAAGCGTTTCTGAACCTAAAAGTAGTTAATAAAAATTATAAAATTTTTAGTAGGGATTAGGCTTGCACCGAATATTCGGTTACTGTTCGGTATTTGGCATATTCGACACCTTTTTTAATATTCAGCCGAATACCGAATAGTAACTTACTATTCGGCCGAATACCGAATAGTTAAAATCAAAGGCACCGCCGCCGCTCAGCGCCAGTATTGTTTGAGTTTTAACTTTTATACGATAAAGAGCTCGCGATGGATCTGTATTTGGAAGTGTTTAGTTTACATAATATGATATGAAGAAATGATTTCGTTATTGTATATATAATAATTTAAACTTTATCGACTTTTGAGATTACAAAAATGAACACGCGAATAACTTTTTTCTGAATATTCACAAGATATACAAGTTACACGCATGTGTTGTATTAATACAATACAGTCATTCAATATACTCAATCTAAGCATTTCCAAATAAAGAGCTCTTATTGGCTCTATCGCAAAATATACAAACAATATTTTTGATCATTTTTTATTTATTATTATGATTAGCATTCCTAAAATATAAAAATAATATAGATCAATATAATTAAACTCGAGTTAATAAAAGAAAATATTAAATGTTTATAAAAGAAATAATTAGAAATACATTTACATAAGTATATGTAAAGAATCGCTTTTTTCATGATTTTACCATTTATTTTCCTATCACATGTAGTATTCAAGTATTTGGTATTCGGCCGAATAGTATGAGTGATGCCAAATATTCCAAATAACAAAGAGTAGCCGAATAGTGGTTGCAAGTCTAGGCATAAAACTTGAATAAACATGTAGCGCGCTAGTAATATAATAATTACTGCTAGTAATTACTTTAATACAAATGCTTAGGCGCCAAAAACCTGCCGGATAGTTGCCGAATATTCGGTATTCGGTCTCTGGAGCATGCCGAATATTCGGTATTCGGCATTTTGCCGAATATACTATTCGTTGCAAGCCTAGTAGGAATCTAACATTTGCTACGATGTAGAAAGAACTGATAATCTTGATTATCATTTATCTTCTACTTACCTGCCATCTAATGCACAATACAGTAATGGATTCAAGCAACTTCGACTATATGCTAACCAGGCCGTATTGTACAAAGCCGAATCAGGTACAAGATTCGGTTCTGGTACGAAGCAAGCTCCGAAAGGCAACCAGCACATCAGGAATGCGCACAAACCTGCCAGGTTGGCACGCGCAAGATCAGGATCGAAGGAGCAAGATATTTGCAAGACTCCCAAACGAGATGAAGATCCACTCTAGAATAATAGAATTGGTTATAAATAATTTAAACAATTGGCTTGAAAACTAGAACTAAAAATTTTTCCAAATTGTAAGACACTTTTAATATCTTTAATATATTGCAGTCAATAATAATTCCAAAAAGCATTACCTTATAATAAATACGAATTTTATATACTTAATTTAAGCAATTATCCATCCATTTGCTTCATTGAATAATCAGAAAATGTATTGTATCTTAACTTCGAAGATAACTTATGATTAACTTAGGTTTAATTTGCATCTCTGAACAAAATGTGAAACTGGGCCGTGAGTGGCATTCTGCCGCAAGTTGCATCAATTTCTCGATACGAGTAAATCATCGACTTACTTAATCAATAGGAACTCGGAACTCATATTCAGCTATAAAATTATCAACTGTTTATTTCTAAAATAAATTTTTCGATTTTATGAAAAACTGATCAATGTCATTTGCAATCGATCTTCCAAGCAGACTTAATAAAATGTAAAAAATCTTCTAAACATTTTCATACGAAGCAAGGGCTCGATCCAATCTTGCTAATCAAAAACTAATCATGATTCCCAAATGGCATCTTTTAATTAATTTTTCAAAATCGGTTTTGGTCCAAATCGTGGACCAACTATTTTGCACTTTTCTTAATGGTAAAATTTTTTAAATCAGTTCAGCCGTTTTTGCAAGAACGTTGACGAAAGGCAAAAATCGGTTCACATATACACACATACTTTTTAAAGGTCTCATACGATTCAGAATGATATGAAATGTCGAGAAAACAAAAATAAACTAGAGGTGTATAGCATCGTGCCTTAAGGCAAAAATTGCTGAAACTTTCCTACCAAAAATTATTTTTTTTAAACTCGGCAAAAATTTGATTTTTGAGAAAATTTTAACTTTTTGAAAAAAAACTGAATTTCTGGAAAAAACGTGTTTTTAATTTTGAAATATTTTAAAAATTTTGAACTTTTTTTCAAAGCACAAGTTTGATACACTTTATTTAAATCTCCATAAAATATATGATAATTTGATGTGCATATGTCTAATGATCATTTTTGCCCGCCAAATGGATTTTTAAAATTTTTTGTTACTAGATCAACGAAACCGCCAGGCCTGCCTTCCCAAAATTTAATCAGTTCTTCATTTCGTCAATACAAATAAAATGTTTTTTGAGTTATTAGAATAGTACTCCGTTCTCTTAAAAATTGAGTTATCGTTTTTGGCACTTTTTGCCCCGTATCTTCAGAACGGCTAGACCTGCCTTTGCCAAAACCTAATCAGCACGTCTCCTTATCAATATGAATCGAATGTTTTTTGAATTATTCAAATCAGATGATCGGTGTTCCCGAAATCGTCGACGAAAATTGGTATCGCACACTCACACACACACATACATCCATTTTTTCTAAGGTCTGCCAAAATATTCAGAAACCTTTGAAACGCAAAGATATATAAAAAATTTTCATTTTCGATTTTCTTGCGATTACTATAACTTACTCTACGGGAAGTTAAAAAGCAAATCGGATTTGCTTGCGAAAATACGAACTTTTTTTCGGAAAGTGAATAAACCCGTATGTTTTTATCTTTAAACTCTAAATTTTTAACTTTCATTACTATATATTTATTAAATTATATAATTATTAAAATCCTAAAAAATCGCGATGCTGTTGGTTCTTTTCCTGATTTAAAAATGAAACTTTTTATATCTTAGTATCAAAACAAGAGAAAATTATAAAAAATATTATTCCTAATAATGTTGAAATTACCGGACTTTTGTGCTCAGAACTTCGGGAGCAGGCGCGCTGCTGCTCCTTGGAGACTCTATGGCGCGCCCAAATGTGCAGGAGAAGTGCAATACAACATGGGACGCATACTGTTACCTAATGAAAAAAATATATTATTCGGATTTTGATCAATCTTCTTGAATTTTGTTAAGGGATTTTTTATGATATATGTGATTATAAAAATATAGTTTGACATTGAAAATATTTGAGACATTGTTTGGCATTGAAAAAAAATCAAAAATGTCATCTGCCAAAAATTTCAATTTACTTATGAGCCTAGGCAATATTAGAATATGCATGATAAATCCATGATCATGATTAAGAAAAATTAAATATCTACATTATTATTGCCAAAAAGCACCTGAGATGTGCCAGAAATTAAAATAATATAAGATACAGAACAGTATATGTATGGCAGGTTGAGTGATACACATATGAACAGGATTTGATAAATTAATTCACTTAAAATATGAATTTAAGAAATTCAGGGCCGGTTCTACCTTGAATGCGACGCATGCGAAAAATACGAGCATAAACCTAAGATTCGAATATGAAATTTTCAATATGTTTTTTTTTTTCAATATAATTCAAGAAATATATAATTTCTTCGCATCTTTTACTAATCTTTGCACAATATTTTTAAAATATGTTGAAAATTTCACTTTAAAACAACAAATGGGAAAGTAGTAAGTAGAGATGAATACATACAATTCGTCCCTTACGACATCAATTAGAAGAAGTATAAAATGCAATTTTGGATATCTTAAATAATAAAAAATTAAACTAATTTAATCCAACATGAAGTACCAGTGTTATGTTATGGTGATGTTTAATAATGAAAGACTAGATTTTGTTTGCTCTCTATGATTTGCTCAATAGAATAAATCGTATAAAATGCCCAAAATAAATAAGTAAAATGTTTCAAAAGCCAAATCTTAATTAATGATAATAATTTTTAATAAACTGTTAAAACAGGTAAAATAATAGGAAACTGAGGATCCCAGGAGCATCCCTGGTAATAATGTGTATTAAATTATTACTAAAAAAATGTAATTTAGAAATTATAACTACTAAAAACCAGTTAAAATATGATACGAGATTATAAAAATTATAGGGAACATTATTGGAGCAATTATTCTGTGTGGAAAAATCTATGGTAATATTGTACTTTTACCGCGGATACTATAGTATATTTATATGTATATTAATATATATATTAATTTTTTCTGAATTTGTTATACAGTTTAAAAGACTTCAATTTCCAATGTAGTGTGGGAATTGAGACTCATCATTTTATTTAAAGCACTTCTACATTTAACATCGCTCATACTGATGTATATGCATTTTGGTGTAAAGAGTAATTTAAAAAACAATAATTATTATATTTAGGTAAACTGTAAATATTAGTACAGGATATTAAAAAATTGAAGTCGTGGGTACAGGACAACGTTTGTCGGGTCATCTAGTATATATATATATATATATATATATATATATATATTATTTACCAAAGTTAATATATAATTTATCAACGCTTATTAGCATGACTGAGCTTAATTAACTCACCAATAAAGCTATGGGCCCCGCTCGCGTTTCATCCGTATCATCCAACTGTCGTCCCAGTTTCCTAAATCTCCTGGCACAATAATCTAAACCAGGAAATCCATCGTTCATGGTTTCTCTTGTAAGAGATTTGCCTTTTAATATAATTAAGTCTTCAGCTTCCTGATTCTTCATAATTTGAGGCACCGAGCACACCATGACGCAAACCAACCAAACCAGGGCTATCGAGCAGGCGCACCTTGCCGGTGTCAGGAAGACTTTGTTGGAAGGTCGATCAGGATAAACGCGTGATAGATTTTCTCCTGCTATAAGCTAAAAAAAATTAGAAAATTAAATTAGTATTAAGAATTTCATCAATTTTAATTTGGAAACAATTTTGCCAAAGATAGATATCAAATAAAAACATATTTGATTATTTAAAATTCTACAGTTTAGTCTAATGTAGAATTATGTTGCCAAGATATTACTCAATTAAGGATAGTGTAAATTCCATGAAAACACAGAACACCATACTACCTATAGTCCAGTCATTTAAGCTTAAATTAGGTAAGAATCTTGGAATTCGAGATACCTAGCTGTAAGCCTATAAATACTTGTATATTGCTACCCTAAAAGTTGTGTCAAAACCTACATATGGTAAAGTGTCAATACCATATGTAGGTTTTGAGACAACTTTAGGGTGTCAATATATTAGTATTTACAGACTTACAGCTGGGTATCTCGAATTCCAAGGTGAACTCACTATAATGAAAGGACTACTAGGGGAAAGTCCCCGAGTGTCGGACACCTAAGGTTATTTATAAAGAAATCAAACATATTTTACGAAATGTTTATTAAATTATGACTTATGTTAGATAAAGTTAGAAATCAAACTAAATTAACAAAAACGCAATCTTTGCTAAACAATAATTAATACTATCAATCAAACTTTGGTAACAAAAAATATGATTTTACAAAGTGGCACCTAGTATCAGACATTTCAAAATAATCAGCATTGAACAAATATGTAGCCAACTCCACACTCTGGAATGTTTGCACATTTGTGACGAATATTCCTAGATATTATAAAAAAAATCACTAATTATCCACCCTTTTGGCTGGGCCACACCGATGCTCTCAGCTGAAAAATTCATCATAAGATTTTGATTATTTGACTTGAAAATACGAAAAAAAGGGGGTATGTAGTGACCGTTAGCAGTCATACAGAACAAAATTAAATAATTAGAATAAATTACGTAAATTCTCACAAGAAATATCAATATGTTTACTATCCGGCGCTAAGGGACGACTTATTAGCGTCCAGTGCTAAGGGACAGACAATTTTGTGCATTTGGTGATACCTACTAAAATTACTTAAAATATTTAATAATTTTCTACCATTTTTCAGATAACAAAATATAAATGCACGAATACACTAGAATTACTTTCGTTGCACCTCGCACAGATAGTTACATGAAGTCGCCGAAATTGCCGATAAAATCGGAGAAAGGATCGAAGTTGACCTTAAAAGAGTTTTATACTAATAAACCAAACTTAATTCTTTATCCCTAACTTAATGTTAACCAAAAATCTTTCAACTATTGTTGGAAAATGAGTTGTAACCGGGCTATTAAAAAAATAAAACTTCTTATACTAATTATTTATCTTTGGTATTGATGCAGTAAATATATATTTAATAGTTTTTGAATTTCTTATATTAAATATTATGAATTAAATAAGGCAGTATGAACGCTTATTTTGGAATAAGAAATAAAGTTTATGATTTAAAACTAGAGTTTATATCTTTCGAGGTTAGACGGTGAGAATTTAACATATTGAGGTGTCTTTATTTTCTCCGTCCTACTTGAGTGCTCATTTTAATTTATTATACAGAATACCATTCGAGCTTATAAACTCTAAAAATTCACATTTATAATCATCACGTTTTATGTGCTTTATTCCATGAACTTTTTGTTTGGAGCAAGATCATATAAATTAAACCAAAAATTTTCCACTTGTCGCGTGAGGTATGTTTTCAATTCAGTTCTCATGTTCATGAGTTCAAACTTAAATTCGAACAATCGAAACAGTATATTTTATTATCTTTATTTGATGTAATATTAGACACTTTATATAAGTATAATGAAATAAATTTTCGTTCTCCACATCACACAATAGCATATAGAAAATATTCTCTTAAACTTCATCGGCAATTTGATATAAGTCCATGTTCGTAAGTAAGAAGCTCATATATCTTTAATTTTGAATAATAGATATTTATACTTTATCAAGTATAAATAAAAAAAGAATAATTATATTCTATTTGTCACTAGTTCATTATCATAAAACCCAAGAAAGTAAAATTTAAAATAATTTGTTATATTCAATCATAATACTTCGATTTCGCAGGTCTTCAAAAAAATTGCTGTTAAGAGGAATTAAAAACTAAGATTCATACTATTCACAGGGCTACAAATAAGTCGAAACAACTTTACATATTTGCACTATAATTGTTTTTATTTCTTGAATTAGTTATAAATCGCGCCTTTTCAGAACAAAGATAATATAATCAAGTAATGATTGTCTCTAACTATTTTTCAACTATTATTCAACATTATATTTGAATAAAGAGGGAAGATTATGTATAATAAGCCGTCTATTTAATTCTTACTACACCTACCCTGGCAAAGGTAATACTAAATCAAGGTTATATACAGTGTTATCTCTATAAAAAATGTACCCATGGAATTTATATTTCATACGTCTATAGAGTAAAAAGATCCAGGTAAAACAATTTTGAAAAACAGCATTTAAAACACGTTTCTACAATAATGAATTACATGGGAGTTTTACTGAACATGTTCAGATAGTTTTTTGTTTGATATGTGTTTTTTGTTGTTAGATGTTTATAATTGTTTAGATGTTCTCAATATAATTCTTCAAAGTGAAATTGGCCCTATGTGCCCCACCCTATCCTATATTTATAGATAATAATATTTTGGTTCAAAGCAATAGGTGAACCCATGTACGTTACATTAATTTAAGATCTGAATTCCGTATTTTTCCATATCACTTTATATTATAACCAATTTATTTTTTTCGTGTCTCTCAAGTATCAATTTTACACTTACGGCCATGGTAAATGCGGTGACCAAAAAACTTGTAGAAGCCAGAAACCACTGAAATCTGCATAATGCTATGGAATCGTCTGCTCCTGCCAGGAGAACCACTGCTGAGGATGGCACTAGAAGACCACTGATCAGAAGATCAGACAAGGCTGCATTCACCACAAATGCATTGCCTGAAATAGAAAATAAAATAATGTACTTCTGGTATATTTTAAACAGCTCTTCTAAAGCAAATAAAATAATTCCTAAATACTCAAAGTGACTCAAAGTACAAGGTTGTACTTCCCATTCAAAAGTGGAAGCATCAGGCAACACATTTTTTTAACGATATCATTTATAAAACATAGTTGCAAAATATGTTCTTGAACCAAATTAAATTATATTCAATATTAAAATAAATGATAAAATTTTTCAAATTCACATATTTTTTGAATGTTTCCAATTTGAATGGTCCACCATGTGCATGATTTAACTTGTATTTGAGACTGATATAGGTTGATCTCTTATATTATCGCTTTCAATTAAATCTAAACATTGCGATTTTGAATAGAATTTTCTAAAACACATTTGTTCGGACATATTTTCGTTTTATTATATTGGCCATGAAGGTCACAATCTTCATGGCATTGAGCTTTTACACGGAATGGTTGCTACTCCTGGTAGAGGTAGCGGAGAGTTTAATGGGACTAATTGTTCACTTCTAAAAGTAAAGTCCGCTTAACAACATGTATAATAAATAATAAATAAAATATATCTTCTTTCATTATAACTTAGTTACAAATCAGTGATTCTAATAAGAACTGCAACAAATACGAAATAAATCAGTATTTAATATTTTCCGCAGCTAGAAGGGTTAAATTATAACCCAACACCCTGAGTTAATCAAAGGAAAGTTTTAAATAATTTCATAACTACATATAAATTACTTGTAATTATATTAATTATATTGCACAAACACTATAGTGCTTGTATGCCTCAAAATTGTAGCTTATTATTTTAAATTTTAATGAATTGATAAAGTTTGAGTCATCACATCACAAAAGCAACTTTTGACAAAAATTTTGATTATTTTCTCAAACTTTGATGTATTTTTAACATTAAACTATTTATCTATTTTAGTATGTGACCATGATATCTATTGCCAAAAAAGGTTCATAAAAATCGGCAAAAATTTTTGTTTCAACAGTTAATTTCAGAAAAATGGCTCGGTAGATTTTTATCTAAAACTAATCAGTATCATTCCCAGCCAATATCTTTCACAGAGTTGTAGATTTTTTAAAATCGATTCAGAATTGAGAGCTAAAATAGCGAATAGCAAAACTGAAAAAAGATAATCCACATCGAAATACTTCAATTGGCTTTTAAATTTTTAAAATTGGTTTAGGCGTTTATGAGCAAACGTCGATAAAGTTGTAATTTTGACAAACGCTAAAAAAACGATACTAATTTTTGCAAACTTTGACGAATTTCTAAAATTAAACAATTTGTCGTAGAACCGTAATATTTTAGTATGATCTATAAGACTATGGTATCTACCGTCAAAAAAAATCATAAAAATCGGAGATTTTTTTTTAACACTTTATGACAAGAAAACGGCCCGGCCGACCTTTACCAATATCTTTCAAACGGTTTTTAAATTTTCAAAATCAATTCAGAATTGCGGACTAAAACGTAGACGAAAATATTTTCACTTTTCTGCTATTTACAAAGAAACGGGTTGACTTATTGACGCGCAAAATAAACGCTAGTCCTCATCGAGATACATCGATTGGCTCTCAAAATTTTGAAATCGGTCTAGCCGTTTTTGAGAAAACGTCGATTTACCGCAAAAAAACTATTACACACACATACTCACACACGCATACTTTTTCCAAATTTGGTCTCATTCGATTCAGAATGGCTTGAAACGTCGAAAAAACATAAAATTAGCGAATCGGATTTTTTTATCAAAACAAACTTCTCCTTCGGGAACTTAACAATGACAATAATTTTTATTAGAAATAGAAATAAAAAATTGCTCATTCGTAGCATGATATTTTACTTTATTTTGGACTTGCCTTTTTTATTTCCTTAGGTAAATAAAACTTATATTACTTAAGAGATATAGTTAACAATATTGTTCTTGTTAATTAATTAATAAGATACTGAATGCCAATAAATAAAACAATCTCTGTACAATATTGACAATATCACTCATAAATCTGTCATTTCTCTGCTCAAATATTCAGTTTTTCCATGTGCAATGCAACAGTACTGCGACCTACTTTGTAACGTATCAACCTATTTGACTGCTTTTGCATGACACGAATAGTTATTTAATCGCTTTTGTATAACTCCATTATATAGATGAAATTCAAAAATGGCTTTACTATGACATTTGTGTATTGTATAAAATATTTGATTACTCTGGAGAATTATAAAATTATTAGCAACACCCGGTAATTGCAGAAAGCTACCATAAAGTTTAATTTCCCTGAGGTTCGTTCCTGAAGGGAGTAGATCATTAATATAGTGTAGTAAGTATATATTTAAGTTTTTTCCATAGGATCTGCCAAATAACTTTTGAAGTAAAACTTCTTTAGGCTCGACTTGGGTGTAAATCCGTACAAATGCAACGGAAGTGCGTTACGGCAGATAAGAGTCCATAAGATAAGAGTCGAGTGCCAATGATTCGTTATTCGCCCTCGATGATATCATTTCTATACGGGTCGATTGTGATTAGTTGTCGTGTATGTGAATAGAGATCTGTCCTTGTATGGGTACCGGCTTCGATGTTGTATGCGTACCGATACCAACAAGGAAATCGGCATAGATAAATAAACATTTTAAAGTTACATCGTAGTACTAATCTTGATTTAATGAAAAATGCCTGAATCAAAAAAATATTTTACCCTGTTCCTTAAAAATAATAAAACCAATTAAACATTTGTGCCGTGTACTAAACGTAAGTTTATTGATTAGAAATTATTTCTATATTATTCGTAGTTTCTATAAATCTTTGAAGTTATTAAAATGGAAAATATTTTTAGGCAAGACAGATATTACAGCTGTTCCAAGAATGAGATTATATCACCAGCGAAAAAGTACAACCAAAAGTCAATGAATGTATGTTAATTTTAATTACATGAAGCTCTTCAATCACAATTACATGATAAGTGAAGTTGCAAAAACAATATTTGTTTAGGCGTTGTTTAACACAATCCACTGGGTGAACAAATATTGTAAAAATTATTAATCAGCAATTACTTTATTTCTCTAATGAAGGTTCATTTCAAAATGCTAATTACAATGACAAACCGATCGTGTCATGTTTGAAGTACGACTTTAATTACATTATTGTTTTTAAATATTATACATATTTTTAATGCTATTATAAATATATAATTTATAATTTATTATTATATAAATGTGTATAATGGTTAACACTAATAAATGTGTGCATCACAAGTGTTACCGTATTACTAATAAACATTATTCAAAATTGTTATTTAATGTGTTTATTTTTGCTTAATTGCCATCTTGCACAGTAGCAAATAAGTTTTACTTCAATCGCGTGTGAACCTTATGCGCACTCTTTTTTTAAAATTCTTTATTGGTTTTTAATGATAAAAAAGAAACTAATTCAAAGTGGAATATAATTGCTTCCTTTTCTTTTATACTTATTAATAATCCACAAATATCTGTTATTCAAAATTTGAGATACACGAACTTGTGTTATCACAAATGAACATTGAATTATATCAAATTTCAGATAAAGTTTAGGCGAAATATATGCTATATGATATATGGTGATGTCGAGAATGCAAATTTGTTTTTATTAAAGTCAGATAAAGAGGATAATATTACACCATCTATAGATACTGTTTCGATTGTTCGAATTCTTGTTAGTTAATTCATGAACATGAGAACTCAATGGAAAATATACATCAAAATAAACGCAGGGACAAGTGTAAATAATTTTTGTTTAGTAATTCATATAATCTTTTTCTAAACAAAAAGTTTGTGAATTAAAGTACATGATTACGTGATGAATATAATTGTGCTTTTTTAATGAGAGTTAAAAGAGCGCGAAGAAGAGCGAGTTCGTGATCTAAAATTTAAAACAAACATCCTAAATCATTAATCATTATAGTTGTAAAGTGGTTGAATAATAACTAGAGCATGGCATCGTGCCCTAAGGCAAATTGCTGGAACTTCCCGTACCGTAATTAAAAATCTTGCTGCGGAACCAAAAAAAAATTACACGAAATGTGTACACATTATTAAAATCTCTATAAAATATCTGATTATTTGAAGTGCATATGACTAATGTCATTTTGGCCTTAAAAATACATTTTTTAACTTTTTCTTTGTATCTTCGAAATTGCTGGACCTTCCTTCCCAACAATTTCATCAGTTCTTCATGTCATCAAAGGAAGTAAAATGTTTTTTGAATAATTCAAATAGGACGCTGCGTTCCCCGAAAACCTGAATTACTATTTTTGGCATATTTTGCCACGTACCTTTAAAACGGCTGGGCCTGCCTTTGCCAAAAACTAATCAGCACATCTTCCCGTTAATAGAAATTGAATGTTTTTTGAATCATCCAAATCGGTTGTAACCGCACGTGCATACATACGTACGTACACATACACACATACATCCATTTTTTCTTAAAGTATGCCAAAACGTTCAGAAACCTATAAAACGTAAAGATATGCAAAAATTTATCTTTCGATTGTTTTGCGATTAATTATAATTTACCCAACGGAAAGTTAAATATTTTTGAATAAAATATATTCCAAAGCTGTTTGATAATCCTCAAAAAAAAGATAAAATTCTGTCTATAATATCAGGCGTATTTTTATCAGTATCAATAAATAAAAATAAATATTGCTTCTCTAGTTTATTGTTTTTGTTTATGAGATTTGTTCAATATAAATAGAATTTCAAAAAGTCAACAAATTACATATATTTGTTTTCATTGTCCAAGAAGATTGCACACCCCTGCCTTGAAATACATATATCTATTATATAACCATTGAAGTCTTGTAATGGTTTTCTCGATAATATTTATTTATTTACCGAATTTCTTAAATTGTCTCAATTTCTTTTATCAATTACTATAACTTACCATACGGGAAGTTAGTAATAACTGAACCAATAGAAATAATAATAATAACTAGTTGGTATT